TTCATTTGTAGATCAGCATTCATTAGACCTTTGTCTGTAGAATAGCATTCATTAAACGTTCATCTACGCACGACATTATTCTGAATCGGAAAATATTTATTTGCGCCATTAAAGCTTCATTTGTAGATTAGCATTCTTTTGACCTTCGTCTACCCACGATATGGCAGTCCGCTTGTACAAAAAGAACACAAAACAATTAAAATGCATATTAAAATGTTCACCATAAAAAAGGAGAAAATAGTTCAATATATCGAAAAAAATACTGAACGGCATTACTTAAATTAAACAGTCAATATCTGTATATTAGCATTCATGAGATCTTGATTTGTAGATTAGCATTCATTAGACAATAATTTGTAGATTAGCATTCATTAGACCTTCATTTGTAGATTAGCATTCATTAGACCTTCATTTGTAGATTAGCATTTATTAAACTTTCGTCTACGCACGACATTATTCAGAATCGAAAAATATTTATTTGCGCCAGTAAAGTTTCATTTATATATTGGCATTCAGTAGACTTTCTTTTGTCGATTAGAATTCCTTAAACCTTCGTCTACCCTCGACATGACAGTATTTAAAAATATTGATTTTTTATTATTTTAGAAATCGACGCCTGTTCAGAATATAAATACAGAGTCTAATTAATACCTGTCATCTTAAAGATTAATAACGATAGATTACTTTTCTACTCTTTATTAACACATTCAAGCTCATTTAAACTCAGTAAATACGTTTAGAGTGTAAGAATGTTTGAGGCAGATAATAAGTATTTACTGATACACGTAATACTAATTAACCCATAGGAGGGGTTGGAGAGATGAATTTATACCTTACACGTGGGTATTCGCGCGTAAATGAATATAACGTTCCAAACGGGAATTTGAAATTGGCTCACCGATTAACAATTCCGAGTCATTGTCAATTACACCTTCAGTACATCCAAGCTTACAGCAGCTGGTCTTCCCAAACGTTCACTAATCAAGGTACTGACAAGACGGGATGTTGCTTCACTTCTATGAACTGCTGTTTTAGCCTGATGTAGCCGTAAGCCAAAGATTTATACGTATTTTGTTTTAATTTTCACACGTCTAATATGAAACAGTGCTTACGTCATTGATAACTGCGTACTATGATGAATTGGGATAAAGAACATCATCCCTAGTACGCAGTAATCATTGACGTAAGCAGAGTTTAAAATCAGACGTGTACAAATAAAAACACCCTAAATCGAACCCGTAGGCCTCGACCGTGGTGATGGAAAGCGACCGGATGGCTTTACCATTTTCCCTTTTAAAATGGGGAAGTTGTTGATTTGGGATGCGACCTGTGCGGATACATTTTCGGCCGGTAATTTGATCAGGTCCGCGGTTGAGCCGGGACGAAGAGATGTTAAATATTCTTCTCTTGCTGATAGATTTTTTTTTTACTTCTGTGGCAGTGGAGACTTCAGGGTTTATTGGTCCTCGTTCGATGGCGTTCCTTCGGAGGATTGGTGCGATAGCGTCTCGATTAAGGGACGAGCCTCGTGAAACGGAGTGGCTCTTGCAGCGTGTCTCACTGGCGATGGTTCCAGGTAAGGCTTTCTCCATCATTGCGGCTGGTAGAGAATAGAAAAAAAATTGTTTATTTATTTTGTTCAAACTTTTTTCAGTAAATAAATTTCTCTATTGTTAGTAATAAAAACAATGTACATATGTAACACTTTCAGTTGTTAGGCATCATTTGACACTGGATTTATGTTATGAAAAGAAACACTTTTAAAATCGTAAAAAAATAAATATTTCGGATTTTGAAGAACGTCTTGGGTAGATGAAAGTTTAATGAATGCTAATCTACAAAGGAAAGACTGACAGATGCTAATCTACAAATGAAGGTCTAACAAATGCTAATTTACAAATTAAGTTCTAATGAAGGCTAATCTACAAATGAAAGTCTCATGAATTCTAATCTGCAAATGAAGGTCTAGCGAATGCTAATCTATAAATGAAGATCTAGTGAATGATAGTCCACAGATAAAGTTATAATGAATGCTAATATGAATACTAATTTTCGATTCTGATTAATTTTGTAGGAAGAGAAGCGTCTACTTTATGCTAATCTACAAAAATCTTCCTTCTTTTGTATTATGTCAACTTAAAAACTAGTTTATTATGCATATGTATTTATGCATAATCTATGCCTAAACCGGAAAAAAATATATCTTACTTATTATAAAACGCAGATTGTGTGTGTGTGTGTCTGTACGTTTATATATTGGATCGGATTTCCTACATTTTTCAACCGATTTCAACAAAACTTCACAGGACTGCATAAAATTACCTTGCGGTGGTTCTGACAGCACCAAAAATTGGAAAAACACAATTGTTTTTGCACGAAATCAATTTGAAAACACGTTAAAACACTATTCTGTCACCAGAATGAAAGGAGGACAACTCATATCGAGTTATACTTATTATAAAACCTAGGTTGTTTGTGTGTGTGTGTGTGTGTGTTCGTTTATAGATGGGATCGGATTTCCTACATTTTTCAACCGATTTCAACAAAACTTCACTTTTTATTTTGGCAGGTAGTGTTTCTTATTGTCTTGTACACTTTTTTCTTTATTTTTACATTCAGAATGCTTTTAAAATTCCATTTACAAGACAATTGTTTATAATAAAATTCTGTTCAATCGAAAGACTCATAATGATTGAAAACAATGTTTTTGTTTGAGTTTGACCAATTCGAAAAAAAAAAAAAAAAAGACATGCGTGTCCGTCAACCTTAAACAATAATCTTCGTCAATTTTATTTTTCAGTCTTTATGATGGTCCATACTTGATCTATCCCTTACTGTTACATCCCCGGGCAACGCCGGGCTCTACTGCTAGTCGATAATAATCTGAAAGTGAAAAATCCGAGGCATATAGGCAACTTCGATGGACTGATTGTGTTAAACCCATGATTAATGAAAGGATAACAAAAAATCTCCATGCCCACCCAAGTGTATGTGAGTTCGTGGATGCTGGGTAGACCTCTGTTGAGTTACAAACATAAGCATAAATTCTATCAGCGTCCGTCTGTCATCCTTTGAGGTAATGATGTATTATTGCGTTAAGTGTAAGATCATGTTCATAAAAGCATGATTCGGGAGGTCATGACCTCGACGATTACGTATTTAAAGGGCATAACTTAAAAAATGATCCGTTCTAACGTTCCTGCAAACTTCAAAACGGATTCTGTGTCTTTCCATGTACGCGGAATAATCAGTTAATCTCAAAGTTTCATAAAAAGTCGTTGAATGCACAAACACAATTAGGGCTTCAAAGGCTGAAAAGGCTGTTGCAATCTCATATGTCGAAAACGATGTGGATGTGAGAGAGCATCATATATATATATAAGGCATTATTATGCTTATTCCTTCTTTTATGGATACAAATATTTAAATAAATGATTTGTTTATAATAAACAGTATTAACGACATTTACCGGCCTGAATGTCAGAGAAATTTTCATAGAAAATATGCGCCCTCAAACAGGAATCGAACCTGTATCCCATACGAAACCGTCATATAGCCTGGCGTGCTTTTACCTATTGAGCCACAGAGGAGTGTTTCGGTTAACAACGTCGATTTTGCTGCTTTTAAACTACAATTCTCCATTATTTTCTCTCGTACATTCACATCTGCTCGATGCTTATCCAAATGTAAACAAATGACGTCACACATTATTAAATGATCAAAGTCCGACAATTATTTTAAGACATATTTTTTTGTTTATATGTTCTCTTTTTTTTTCTTTTTTTTTTTTAAATAAATGCTCTGTTTATGTCGGAGGACGCATATTTTCTATAAAAATTTCTCGGACTTTCTGGCCAATAAATGTCGTTAATACTGTTTATTATGAACAGAGAATTTACTTCAATATTTGTATCTATAAAAAGAACGTATAAACATAAAACATGCCTTAAAATAATTGTCGTACTTTGTTCATTTCATAATATATATATATATATATATATATATATATATATATATATATATATATATATATATATGTAAGAAAATATATGGATATAGATCCGACAGTATGAATAAAAATGTACGGAAAAAAATCAAAATCCCTAATTATGCAATTATATTAACATTAAAACAGCATAATTGCATAATAGGATTTTTTTGTTTGTTTTTCCGTATATTTTCTTCATATATATCTCTATATCTATATCTATCTATCTATCTATCTATCTATCTATATATATATATATATATATATATATATATATATATATATATATATATATATATATTATAAGAGTTTACAATAAAAAAACATGTTGGAATCGATACACAAAAGTTTTCATATATCAATACATCGATTCTACTTCTTCAGGCGATGGTAAGTAAGTAGTAATAAAATGATTTTTAAGAAAATTTAAAAACAAACTTACTTCTTTTCCGAAAGTTAAACTTAGGGGCACAAGGTCAAAATTAAACATAGACTTGTGGGTATACCTTCATTAACCAATTAAATTTCACACCCACGCTAAATAGACAAGGTGAGTTATATTTTTATGTCATGATAAACCGGAACATAGACAGACCATCATTGACGATGGTGGAAAAAAATGCATTTGTCCCTGACATATTTCCCGTCAATGTTCTAGCGTAGTGATTTCAAAATGTTTTATTATAATCTGTTATAATAAAAACCATAAAAATATATTGCACTACTTTGTATTTGAGCACTTTTCTATAAGTAAATGTTACGAACTGTGGAAGTACACTCCATCTGTTCTTTCCCTCTCTCTCAACACACACACACACACACACACACACATATATATATATATATATATATATATATATATACATAATTATTTATTCGAAAATTATAACATAAATATGGTATAAAATTTATTATTCCGTATACACTAATCCTATAATTGTATATATATATATATATATATATATATATATATATATATATATATATATATATATATATAAAGCTCTATCAAATGCCTGTTCTATCTATTCTGGTAGAAATCGTTGTAGTATAACTGTCAGTGTTTCCAATATATTTTTATCGTAAATTGCCCTAAATTTACGTTTTTTGAAAAATATTGAACCCCCACTTAATGTAGGTATTCCTGTATTCCTATATATATATATATATATATATATATATATATATATATATATTAGAAAAAACGTTTGGCCCAACTGAAGGTATCGATAGGCTGAAACTAGTGTAGAGGGAGTGGCTGATCCCCTAAATTTAAAAGCTCTACATGTTAAATTTTGATTTTTTTAAACATGTATTGAGCATTTTCAATAGAACTGTTTCCTGGTTTCATTCAACTCTAACCAATAACTTCCTGGTTATCAAAGTCTAATTACTGTTCTTAAATAACAAATTTTCCTTGATTTGATATCTGCTCGAATCTTATTTTAACGAAAACAAATAACATCATATATTTATCGGACATTCAGCCCGGTGTATGTAATTAATATTGCTTATTATAAACACAACATTGACTTAAATATTTGTACCTATAAAAATAACGTATAAAAAAAAAAAAAATAATTGTAAGACTTAGCAAACTTATTCCAGTTCATAATATATATATATATATATATATATATATATATATATATATATATATATTGTTCAAGGTTTAACTGCAAAAATGTCCAAATCGTGTAACAGAATAATTATCCATCCCCCAAATTAATTAATTTCTTTCAAAAGACACGGAACTGATTGAGTTGCTTTTTTTCCAGGTTTTCAAATAAAATGTTTAGCCATCTTGATATCATTTGTCCTAAGAATCAATCAAAAAACCCTTTAAATTTTTCAGCTAGAAAAATAAAAGGAGAAAATCATTTTGCGTTAGCCCCATATATATATATATATATATATATATATATATATATATATATATATATATATATATATATATATATGTGTGCGTATATTTGGGGCTATGATAGTCTTATTCTTAGGATTTTGATATTCAGTTCTCTCTGACAAGTAATTTGTTAATATCTTCATAAATCTATCTATCTATCTATCTATCTATCTATCTATCTATCTATCTATCTATCAAACTGGTTGATAAAACGTAAAATCAGTTAATCTATCTATCTCATTCTCTTCGTATATCTCAGTCCCTTCATCTATCTATCTATCCATCTATCTTTCTTCTTATATCTCTGTCTCGTTATCTATCTATCTATCTATCTATCTATCTATCTCTAGAGATAGACACTAGACACCAGATTCTAACACACTTTGATATTCTCGCAGAGAAAGCCCAACTGAATGGTTCGATATTAGAAATCGGATAGGCAGGGGACACTGGCAGAATGATATGAAGAATTCAATTCTGGATGCCAAGTATCAGCTTGTTAACTCGAGTGGAAAATTGATTGGGATTCCGATTGGATATAAAAATACCCGACACGATGAATCAATCAGTTTAAGAACAAAGTAGTTCTTTTTTTTTTAAAGAAAAAAAACAAAAAAAAACAAGTAAAAGTCAAAAAATAAAAATAAAAAAAACAAATACATAGAAAAAGGAAACTTAAGGCCCCAAGAATAAAATCAAAGGAAAGGTCAATCAAAAATATTATCAAGGATTCAAAATCGTTTAAACAGTCTTGCGGGGGAAGTTTTATTTTCCATTCTATAACCTAGTTTCCACAGCATCCATCGATAGGGCCGTATCTTTGTCTCCTTTTTTCTTTAATAAGTTCACCCGAAGCAAGGCATTAAAGCCACTAAGACACAAGGGGTTGCATCATGAAGGAGCGACAGTAACAAAAGAAGAGGGATCAAGCAGACAGTAGATAACGATTGACATTGCATTTAAAGTGTTGAACATCAAAAATGACTGGAAAGAAAGATGCCAGAAGAGAATTCCACAAGTAAGAAGTGCGAGCGAAGAAACTGTTTGTATAGAAATTCCCGTTACATGTATCCATTTTAAATATAAAATGATGAGACATTGCTGCCAATCTAGTACAGCCCTGAAAGTCCAAAGGTCTATGTACCCGAGCCAAGAGCGGATCCGAATAATTATGATGAAAGTATCTATAGGGTAAGCGCAGGGAAACTATATTATAGCAGCGGAAAAGTGACTGAAGCCGAGATGCCAGTTTAGGACCTATAATATTGCTGATCCGTCTTGTACAACAACGTGAAACAGCTTTCTTAGTAGCAGACCGAGCAATGGATTTAATAGAATCTTTCCACTTCATGTCAGACGCACATTCCTGTAGGTTAACATCAGCCAAACTAATGGATGACAGAAATGCGTCTATCAGTTGATTAATAGAGTAATATATATATATATATGTGTGTGTGTGTGTGTGTGTGTGTGTGTGTAAAAACCAAACATGTACGTGAGTGATTGAACGTGTGTGCCTGCATATTTGAAAAAATATAAACCAAGCAATTTATTTGCAAACAATATAATTATTTCTAACCAATGAATGGATTCATTTTTAATCTGTCATTTTTATTACTGCAAATGTTATTTTAGTGGATACCCGTGTTTAAAATAGACGCCACGTTTATTTTTAAACTGAGTCTATTACGACTATCGAGAAAAAATGTGATCCTTACAGCCTGACGTGCCGTAACCGATTGGGCCAGAGTGGAGCGTTCGGTAAGCAAGTTCGATTTTACTGTTTTTAAACACAACTCTCCATGATTTTCTCATTCATTCATATATGCTCAATGCGTATCCAAATGTAAACAAATGACGTCATGCATTATGAAACGGACAAAGTCCGAAAACTATTTAATAAAATTTTTATGTTGATGAAAATATGACGGTTCCGTATAGGATACAGGTTCGATTCCTGTCGGAGGACGCATATTTTCTATGAAAATTTCTCGGACATTCAGGCCGTTAATGTTATTAATACTGTTTATTATAAACAGAGCATTTACTTAAATATTTGTATCTATAAAAAAAAACGTATGATCATAAAAAATGTCTTAAATAATTGTCGGACTTTGTCCATTTCATAATGTATTTCTAGTTTTCTTAGAATCACTTTGCTTTGAACTCTGAATAAAACTAGTAAGATGAGATAATCTTGCCCTACGCCCGGACATAAAGACCTATTTGATCTAGTAGAAAAAAACATGATTTATTCGGGAAAGTTAATATTTCCTGGGAACAAATCACCTGTATAGAGATAGAAAATTAATAAAAACAGACACACACACATACATACATACATACATACACACACAAAAAATTCTTGACGGTAACAAGTCTGGGTTAGCAACCTGACCAATTCGAGAAAGCAATGTATCTGAAAAAAATGTTTTATTTGAGTGTTCATTAAAGTTCTCCATCAAATGTGATGGCATATTGTTGTGCATAAAATCGTCATTTTTCTCACTGCGTTTTAATTTCTCTTGAAACATGGCACCACGTTTGCCTTCAAAAATCCATAAATAAATGAGGTGCCCTCTTATCAAAATCTGCACCTTATCATCGGACCCTTGGTTAGCTTAGGCGTAGAATCTCTGATTGTTACCAAATCGCCCAGGCTTTGTTCTTGAAGCAATCGGATGTCTAGCCACATTGACGAGCTGTGATACAGTGAAACATGCTTGTATATGGATGACTATATATATATATATATATATATATATATATATATATATATATATATATATATATTAGTGTTAATATATTTATGGGCGTCAGTTTATTCGTATATTATTTTACGCAAACAATCTGCGGAGAGACGTTAAGCGACCTGATTTGCATAGGCAAATGAGAGTTTTATATCAGGGAAAGAGTTTCACTTGGCTGTGAGGGGAATTGGCCAATGATTTATTCGCATAATTCTTCCATTATGCGCGCCTGAGGCAAAATAATTACTTTCTTCATTCCAGATTCGGAGCCGGTGATTGCTTCTTCTCGGCTAAAAATTCGACCTACATTTTCACCTTATCATGGACGGATTTCTAGATCACTCTTACCTATTAATTCCAAATAATTTACTTTAGCTTTCCAAACGTATTCTATGTACTTATCTACGTCTGTGTGATTTTATGCTAGTAACATCTAAGAATACGTGTGCAGGTTTCCCATACATAAAAGAACCGTTCGTTGTCTTCTAGATTCCTTGAAGTCAGTATCAGCAGAATCGAAGACCATGTGGTTTCGTGTCTTTTTTCAAACATTCGATCTTCACTTGAGAGGATGTCTGGCACTCGGCCTTTTCTGATGAGTGACTATTAATCCAACAGATTCTATGACGTTAACGTTATTTTTCGGATATTCAGGTAAACGAAAAAAAATAAATATATATATTTTTTAAACATTTCAACTCAAGCAAGCCGGGAGTGTCACTAGCAAGCAAGTGGTTACAGAAAATGGAAGCAAGAGTAAAGAGGCGTGAGGGAGTAAAGAAGAGAAGGATGGGGAATAAATCAAGGCATTTGGAGATGTCGACTGACATTGCATTTAAATATTTGGAGATTATAGCTATCAGGGAAGCAAGTAAGAGGAAGGGAGTTCCATAGACGGGAAGTGATATTCCCGGATTTTACAACTGACTATCTGCCGTTTAATTAATCATTTCACACCAAGTAAGGCAATAAAGCTCTATGTCTCAAGTGGGTTACTGAGTGTTAGAGAATATTTATTTTTGAAGATCAAGTTTGACGAAAGACAGTTAAAGCAACAACAGAAAGAAATCCGGTATAAGAAGAGGGTTTTACTTAAGAGCTCTTAGCATCTGTAGCCTCAAATTCATTTCTAAGGTAGATAAAAATATTGAAAGCTTATTTCTCGATTAACCGAATTATTTCCTATATAATGCCAAACGGAAAGCCTATAAAATCTACAGAAGAAAAAAAGAAAATAATAATGCCAACAACGCTATGAGAGATTTATATCATAAAATTAATGATAAAAAATGCCGAAATCCCTTCGCTAACAAAATTTTTAATATGCATTAACCTACTAATCACTCGATGAATGTTATGATCCTTGTCTTTTGAATTTATAATCTGTAAAATTATAAGCATTTTCAAATTGTCATATTAGTGTTCTGGTACGATCCACCTAATTTACATATTGGAGTGCCGACCATATAAATATGGTTGGTACCGGGAAGACGGCTGAAGGGAAGTAACAAGAGATCCAATCCAGAGACTCTGCCCGACTGCGATTAAGTCAACCCATTCTACAGGAACGGTCTTCCCAAGAATATACCAAAACTGTAAATATTGTGTACCTTTTCCTTGTTTCAATACATTTTGTTTACGTACATTTTGTGTTGTATTATTATTATTCCAGGCTTATCCAAGCTTCAACAATTAGTAAAAACGCACTCACTGTATTCGATTGAATAAATGCCTGTCTGATCCGAAGAGGAAATAATGGCTATTATATTAGGTATATAATAGCCATTATAAAAATAATTTATGAAAAGTTGATCTAAAATAAGAGATAAAGTTAAGGCCAAACGAAGCAGCAACAAAAATAGGGCAAAGTAATATGTAAATAAATTCAACAAAGTTCCCAATGATGTACACCGACAAAACATCAGCAAATTTAAAAAAGGACTATGTGAATATGTTGCATAACAACACTTTGAATGGACTGACAGTAACACCTCTGATCACCATTTCGATTGAATAAATGCCTGTCTGATCCGAAGAGGAAATAATTCACATAGAAGAAAATGCATTGAGAGTGCACTGATCTCCAAATTCTTGACGTTGAACTTAAGACCGGACTCATACATGATATCAGCGAGCCTCGCAGAAAAAATGGTATCACAGAGCGATATACGAGTTAATATGGAACATAACAGAAATCCACTCTGGGTGGGCGGATTTAAAATCTGACAGATGGTAACGGCTTTAATACACAATAAAAAATAAAAAGTTTTGTCTTTCATCTGACCTGAAGACATCAACCGAACAGACAAATGCGAAATGCGTTACATGAAAAAAAAAAAAAATTCTAGGTTGTCTCATTTCTCCAGTTTATTTCCGGCATTATTCTGATTTCTACTACCCCCACACACTGTCACATATATATATATATATATATATATATATATATATATATATATATATAAAGACTTTTTTTTTTGTTTATACATTCTTCTTATAGATACAAATATTTAAGTAAATGCTCAATTCATAATAAACAGTATTAAACAACATTTACCGGCCTGAATATCCGAGAAATTTTCACGAGAGGATTCGAACCTGTATCCTATACGGAACAGTCATTTAGCTTGACGTGCCTTTACCGATTTGGCCACAGAAGAGCGTTCGGTTAGCATGGTCGATTTTACTGTATATATACATATATGAATAATGATATTTAAAAAAAAAACAGCGCATTTCATCCTCTGATGCACTATAGAAGCAATGCATGCTAAAGACGCTAAAAGAACGAAGCGCTTTGGCTAAGATAAGTTTTCCTTTTGTTTTTATGTATATTGTCCTTATATATATATATATATATATATATATGTGTATATTTATCAAATATATGGTGCAGTTCAATTTATATTACAATGAATCATTCATACAAAAATAAATTAGTAAAGTTAATGATAAAAAATGCCAAAATCCCTTCGCTAACAAAATTTTTAATATGCATTAACCTACTAATCACTCGATGAATGTTATGATCCTTGTCTTTTGAATTTATAAGCTGTAAAATTATAAGCATTTTCAAATTGTCATATTAGTAAAAACGCACTCACTTAAATTTTCAAAAGAAAAAAAAACAATATTAGAGCTGCGATTGTACGCTCCAATATTTGTATCCGTTATCAATAACGCTTTTAAAAAAAACATATTTCGATTCGCATTATATTTTTTCGTCTCGGATGCTACCTGGATTTTATCAAAAACAAAATAATTTCCATGTCTGAAGATGACTGAATGTACAGTAGAAAGTACTTGCGTATTTAAGAAAGACCTAATACAGCTTATAATTTTAATCTAATGTTAATATAAATTTGGCCTTCGTTTAATTTTAGATTAGGAACAATACGTTGTTCTCGTTTTATACCGTTGAAGGAGGCGGTGGAAACAATGTGTTTGAAGAATTATTTTCATAATAAAATTCTTTTTCCCAAACAGTTTGTATATCGGGCAATTTTCTATTTAACATGAGGTTATTTTTAAAACTTACTAGAGTTCTTACCTTCAGCTACTCTTGAATATATATATATATATATATATATGTGTGTGTGTGTGTGTGTTTCGTCTTTTGCTATACTGTTCTTAAGCTTCTATTCTGTCAGTTTTGGCGCCAAATTAAGCACTTTTCGGCGGGTGGAATTTGATGTTGCCTCGATATCAAATCACAATGGCGTTTATTCGCTACATTTATTTTTGGCAAAAGTACATCCGAATATTTGGCGTTGCCTGCAACATTCAAGGAGAGTTTTTTGTTTTGAAAGAGGGAAAGCACAAAACTTGAAGCTGGCTAGTGAGTTTGAAGTCAGTCGAATAATTACCTTATGGCCGATGGAAAATTGGATTTCCACTAACATTTAACGAAATTCTCAGACAATTTCTAACGTTCTCTTTTGCGTCATCCATTTTTTTTTTCTGTTTTTCTCTTTAATTTTCTCGGCCTTTTTTAGAAGATTACTTTAATTGCTTTCTTTTTGCCTTCATTTCTTTTTACCATTGATTCCTTTCTTGTCATGTTTCCGTTTTAACTTATATTACTGGTCTGGAGTACATTTTGAATTCCTTGAAGCAATTCTTTTAATATTTGCTTTTATGCTTTTTATCTGTTAATTGGTTATTATTTTTCTAACTACCGTTTATTGCTCGTATTTTTTCTTTTGTTAGGTATAATTTTCGTTTTAAATTTCATTCTTTGTTTTTTTCCATCACTTGTTCAGTGTTGGTTTTTTGTTCTATTATCTCTTTGTTCTTTCTCCATTCTTTTCTTTTATTATAGTTTTTATTTTATTTTTCTTGTTTTTCCTTCATTTTTCTTCTCTACTTCTTTTTTGTTTAAGCTCCTTTATTTTTTCTTCATTATGCATTTTTGGAATTTTTTTCTTCGATCCTCTTCCTTTTTTTTTCATTAGTTTTTTTTTTTGCATTTCTCTTTCTTTACCCTTTTTCCTTTCAACTATCTTTTCTTTTTCTTATTCTCTTCTTACATTTTCCTTCATTGGATAATCATTGTTCCTGCTTTTTAATTCGTTCTTTTTCTTTCTTTTTCCTTCTTTCTTTGTACTTCCGCCTTTTTCTTTTCCTTCTTTATTCTGTCTTTTATGTCGTTCTGCCTATTCCTTCTTCATTTGGCCTTTGACATTTTTCTTTCCTTATTTGTATTCCATTTTTTTATCATTATATTTGTGTCTTTCTTTATATCACCTGTTACCTTTTTATATTCTTCCGTTTTCCTTCATGTTATCTCCCTTGAAAATTCAATATTCACTAATCATAAAATAAATTTTATTTTATTTTCTCATTGAGGAAAGATACTAAAGTGTTCAGCAATTCCAGTTTTCATGCTTATGAAAATGTCTACTAATATACAGAGTGCAATTATCGCCATTTTATATTTTTAATCTCGCGCATGCGCGTTGTTTGTTTTTGCTTTTGTCGACTTCACAGTATAATAGAATCATTTGGTCACCGTCTCTGAGAAAAGGTGCACCATGACGCAATTCACTCCGCCAGATATTTGGAAAGGTCATGCTGTATTGCATGTCATTTGCACCGGAAGGTCCAATACGAACACTTCCAAGTGTTTGGGTGCCACTCTGAGGGCTGCAAAGGATTCGGAATGACTATGATGAGTCTAATAATGATTACTAAGACTTTTGGAGCGATCACTAGTGATGGCGGCGTTATGTCTCTATTCATCTTCCCTAAGGGAGACCTATATAGAGTGCCTTGAAGAAGTAGAGATTCTCTGGGTTAAGAGGGTGGCTACAAGGAGATCCTATGTCTGGAAACAGGAATCCGAACTATGCCACACAAGCTGGAGAAAATCCAGTCATGGATGTCAGACAATTTCTGCCACCACACCACTCCTTACATCTGACCACCTAACTCTCTAGACTGCAAACTCCTTGATTATTATGTGTGGGGCGCAGTTGAGCGAGTGATCAACAAAACTCATTTTAACACCAATTATAACCTCAAGGCAAGGATTATGACAGCATTCATTAACTTAAACAAAGAGACCACAGAAAAGAGTTGCAGGAGATTCCGAAGTCGTCTGGAGGCCGTGGTTGACGCCAATAGTGATTTTATTAAATAAATTTACTTTTTAGTATTTCAAAATATTTTTGTTTAATTTCGGTAAATATATCTGTTAAAATGTGATGTTAGTGTTATTTTCATTTTTGCTTTATTTAGAGGACAATTTATCAATCGCACTGTGTATATACACTCACGTGTACGCACATGTATGTACGTATGTTTTTTTTTTAATTTTTGTTTGGACCTCGACTGTAACTTTTCCGACAATGGACCAATGATTTTTTATGTTATTTTTAAGCGGCTTACCTGAAATCTCACGATGATCTACCAACGAATGTCTCTAATAAAAATAAAAATCCACAACTAAAGAAGATTATATATTAGTATATATTTCGAGTATGTATGTTTTCATGGAATATCCAGAGTGTGAGGCAGGCCTACATTAAGTGCCCCGAGGAGACAGGGTAACCCTACACCACGACCGCACACACAACCATACCCAACCCCTTACATCTGGCCACCTAACTCCCCAGACTACCACCCCCTTGATTATTATGTGTGGGGCGCAGTTAAGCGATTGACCAACAAAACTCATTGTAACAACAAATATAAACTCAAAGCAAGGATTATGTCAGCAGTCATCAACGTAAACAAGGAGACCATCCAGAAGAGATGCAGGAGATTCCGTAGTCGTCTAGGGGCTGTAGTTAAAGCCAATGGCCATTTTATGGGATAAATTTAATCTTCAGTATTTCAAGATATTTTTGTGTAATTTTGGTAAATATATCTGACAATACATCTGGCCAGCTAACTCCATAGACTGCAAGCTCCTTGATTATTATGTGTTGGGGGCAGTTGAGGGAGAGAACAACAAAACTCATTTTAACACCAAATATAAACTCCCAAATGTGTGTGTGTGTGCGCGCGCGTGCGTGGCCGAATGGTTAGAACTTTCGTTTTCTGGGTTCGAATCTCACCAGGGTCGATTTGTCAGGAATGAAACCTCCTGCGCGCGGCACCTTTGGAAAGTGCCTGGAAACCATACCACGGGTTAGGCTTGAAATTGGTTAGACGAAACCCTAGCTGTACTAGCACAAAATCACAAGTCATCGTGACCGAGGGTTTGAGTGTGATGTTCAGATTATTTATCACGCGAGATAACACACTCCCTCCTGGAAACTGTAGTTGTAGTATAATTTGTAGGTGCTAAACCAACACAAAGGCACCTGAGCTAGCCACCCTATTACCACACACACACACACACACACACACACACACACACACACACACACACACACACACATATATATATATATATATATAATAATGGATGACCAGCTATTACTATTATACACACACACACACACACACACCCATACTTACAAATATTCATTATTATCTGAATCTCACATAGACACCTTTCTTTCTTTCTCTCTCTCTCTTTCACTCTCTCTCTATATATATAATTGTTCGTTTGTGTGTGTGTGTGTGCGTGTGTTTGTGCGTGTCTGTGCATGTCTCTTGCGTGGGTCGATAGATATAAAAGGAAAGAAAAGTGAAAAAAAGAATTATAATAAAACTACCACAGCTGTAATGAAAGACTCGGGGAAAGACTATGACAAAGTAGGCAGCGTCAAATGCTATGGACATTAACATAGAGGAAAAAATAGAAAATAAAACAATATATATATATAATATAACAATATATAATGGATGGCCAGCTATTACTATTTTATTTATATATAATCGACTCTCCCGTCGCGTTCGAGGGTCAGGCCGATAAGTCCCCAGGAAACCGACATCCCGACACCGGCACATGAGATTTGTTTATAGTGGTGAAGGCCTCGTGCAGGACCAGCCACACTTTTTGGAGGGACGAATACAGAAACCTGGTGCACCGAATGCATGCCACAAGGTTCCCAAACGACCCTCCGCAGGTTTTGAATTCAGAGTTGTCCTTCTCCTAGACCAGTTGCCATCCAAGGCTATAGAACCCAGTCTGTCCTGCTATTTTACCCATAGCTGGAGGGAGATGAAGAGGATACATACCTTTCTCAAGGGTATTAGCACGTAAGTGAATGTAATGGATTCGACTGGAATTCGAACTCGGCTCTGCGATTCCTCAATCCAAGCCGCTATCCACTGCTCCACCGTGCCTCCAATAAATATATATATGTGTGTGTGTGTGTGTGTACTTAAAGTACATTCTTCATGTATTATTTAAAAGTTATTTTATTTTTTAATGGATACCCATATTCGAGTAGATTCTCCGTTTATTTAATAAACAGTATACTTATTTATTATTGTCTGTTGGCCTGAATATTCGAAAAATCTCATGAAAGAAGAATATGACCTCTTCGGAAGGATTCGAACCTGCGTCGTTCGATCCGAGGTTCTTTTAGACCATGATGATCAAATTGATTGGTGCCTTATAAAAACCAGTCAGACTCACGAAACATTCTTTTCTGCTTAGTTTCGTATTCTAACGTAAACAAAGCAATTTCGAAAGAAGTTATGGATTTTAACTATCAACCCGAGAGACTTTATAACATAAACGTTGATTTATTTTTTGTTTTAGCAGAAAACCATTTTTCAGTAGACAAGGCGAATTCCTCCAGAGACTGCACAATTTCCTGTAATATGATTTCTCAAATATCTTGACCGGAAACGAAATATATTCTTTAATAAATAAACGGAGCGTCTATTCAAATAAGGGTATCCACTAAAGCTTTGGTGAGTAAAATAAACAGCGAATATATAAAGATAATAATTAACAATTACTACTGAAAAGTAACGGGACAAGTGTCACAAGCAATTTATTTCAATTCCAAACAACAAACTACAATGTTTCGCCTTCAAAGTACCCCCACGTATCCAATGTTTTTTCCATCCTTCTCTGTCACGCTTCTATGCTCTGCTGGACGTATTATTGTTGGAGCGACCTCAGCTCCGTCTTCACGGTCATCTTGATGGTTTCCACCTCTTCAAAACGGAATGCCTACATGATCTGATCCTTTTGTGCTTGTGCAAAAGAAGAAAAAAAAAGTCACAAGAAGCAAGATCAGGTATATAGGGAGGTTGCTCCAGTCCGGCGATGTTCTTCTCGTGCAAAACATGTCGGATGCTCAGGGCGTTGTGGGCAGGTGCATTGTCCTGGTGAGAGCAGTCACGATTTATCCTGCCACAAGTCACGTCTCGTCTCGCGCATTGAGAAAAGCCAACACCGCAGGGTCTCTTTGTAGACTTGCTGATTGTTGGTCTGGTCCCGTGACAAGCACTCACCGTGGACAATGCCTCTCAAACAAAAGAACGTGACAACTCCTGTTACTTTTCAGACCACATATTAATACAAATTATTTTTATTAATACATTCGACCAGTATCTATTTTGATCATATTTTTGTTTAAGTTTTATAGTACGAAAGAATGTTATAGCACGGAAATTTAAATTTGTTATTAATTGAATTGATTCTTAATATCCCAGCTGATTCATTTATTCTCCCAATCACTTCATACTAAGCAAGGCGACATAGCCAGTAAGACACAAGGGAGCTACTGAAAGTGAAAGAGACTGAAATGAATTCACAAGGAAACGGAAGAATTTTGAAAATCAGAGTTGAAGTAGATTTAGAAGAGATCGGAAAACCAATATTAAACAGAAAGCAATAGATAAACCACGACTCTTGTTCAAAAAACCGTGGAGGAGTGTGAACCGGACGAGGGGCAAACCGTTCTAAACGATGAAAAATAAAATAGTAAAAATAAGTGAATAATATAGTTAGATTTTAGTCGGAAATGTTAGAAGTCCGGTGTTGAAGTAGACGTCAGAAAGAACCGGAAATCCAATCCTAAACAGGAAACAAGAGATAAACTTCTACTCCTTTAAAAAAAAAACAACAGGGTGGAGTCTGAACTAGGCGATTAACGAACCTATCTATTCCTATTGAAGAAAAATAAATAAACTGCAAATAAAATTTAATCATTTTAGACGGAGAAGAAAACCCGGTCCTAAACAGAAATCAAGGGATTAACCTCTACTACTGTTCAAAACACCGTAGAGGGGCGC